TGTACAGGGTTGTTGAGAAGATTCAGGTTGTGAATGAGCATCAAAGCAATTAAGAGAGTTCCTCTAAGATGTGAGAGTACAGGGAGAGGGAGCAGAGGCCCGGGGTGGGACACATCTGCAGCCTGGATGGAATTTCAAACCAGAGGGTTCTAGAGACAACAAGAAGGCTCTGAGATGTCATGAGACCAGAAGAACTGAATGGCGCCTGCCTACCATTATGGAACATTCTGATCACAAACTCAGTAGATGAATCCTGATCAAAAGAGAAGAAACTGAAACAGAACTTAAAATTTCTTGTAGAACCAATACTTAATTGATCCTTTGAGACCAGAAAACGCTTCAAATCTGTTGCTCTGAGGAAATTTTTCATCCTTGAACTTACCTTTCCCATTAAGTCATCCTCAAGCAATACAGCAGGTTGTTGTTGTTGTTGTTGTGTACTGTAGAGTCGGAACCAATCCATAGCTGACCCTCCAGCGGGTTTTCAGAGGCAGTAATCACGCAGGAGGAGCTTGTTCGTCCTTCTCCCACAGAACAACTAGTTCCCTTGAACCACGTGCCTTTGGGATTTCAGCGCAATTTCTTGCCAGTAGGCCAGCAGAACTCCCTTTCTTGCCTCTAGGCCACCAGAGCTAACCTCAGCAGGTTATCTGAGGAAGTAAAGAATTTTCTTTTTGAGTGTTATACTCTTTTAGAGAATGACCTGTATGAAATCAAATTGTCACCAGTTATTCAAAGAATAGGTGGTAGTTTATGAGCAGTGAGTTACATCAATGGGGGTGAAATCATCTGGGGAGAGATAGTGAGACTGGTGACATGTGACAAAGGTAACATGTCACTGAACCGCACGTGTGGGAATGGTGTGATCTGCTGTGTGCATTGTCACCAAAGATGTTGAAACAAAACAAAACCTGCATTGCAGAGAAGTCTCTGGATGCTCTGGTCCAGGGTAAAGGGGACATTAAGAGCCCACCCTCCTCTTGCTAACCAGCGTTCGGGTACGAGAGAGAGAGCTGATTTAAGGGCAGTTGATCATGGTTAGTGGCCACTTGGGTAGAGGTGTCAAGTCACAGCAACACTTGAGGCTGTGCCTGTGGCCAGTGGGATGGCCAGTTCCAGGGCCCCAATGGCAGCCAGAATGGTCCAGATAGAATGGAGTCCAGGGTGAGAGCACTTCTTGGGTTCTAATCTGGCTTGAGAGTCCCTCCCAGGGGCAGTCTCACCCCTGGGTGAGATTCTCCTGGGCGTCAGGCTTCATGGCCATGTGTAATGGCCCAGGACTGACACTCAGGGCGTTATTGGTCCACCACCAGCAGCTCCCCCCCACAGCCTCTCCCCCTTGTCCTTCCCAGTCCTGCCTGTACATGGAGGTAAATCAGTGCTTTGGCAGAGTTGCTGTAAAGATAAGGTAGGTTAGAGCCAAGGAATTGCTAATGCCTTGCGCATCCCTTATTCTTACAAGGACCCCACTTCTCACTCTGGGACTTAGACAAATTTTATCCTGACGGGACTGAGAAAATTTCTTCATCTGTGGATGAGCATGAAGCTCACTACCTGGGCGAGGAAAGTGGGTGAACGGGCTTTGGGGAGTCTTAGGTTATGAAACAAGAAATTTGTCAACATCAGTGCAAACCCATACAGGGCAGGGTGGCGAAGTGCCTTAGAGACAGGGCCTTGGCTGGTTTGCAGGGAGTTGTTGGAGGCTAAGCTGCGAGGTTGGGGAGCCTGCGGGGGCTCCCTGCACTGCTGGTGCTTCTCTCCCCTCTCCTCTGCTGGCATGATCTCTTACACCAGCCCTGACTAGCTTCTCTCCTCTCAAGATCCCTGCCATGGCCCCTCACCAGTCCAGGCTGGGCCAGTTTACCTGCCAAGGGCGGGCTGGCCCTTTAAGACAGACACTTGAGGACAGACAGACCCAACAAGCCCAACTGTTGTTGTTCATTCATAGCTGACCCTCCGGGTGGGTTTTCAGAGGCAGTAAATCACATGGCGGAGATTGCTCAGCTTTCTCTCAGGGCAGCGAATGGATTAGAACCCTGTACCTTTGGATTGGTAGCGTAATTCCTTACTACGAAGCCACCAGAGCTCCTTAGCAATCCCATTGTTGTTGTTGTCTTTGAGTTTATGTAACACAAACTCACACTTTTTATAAACTGTGTTTATTGCAACATTATTTACAATAGCAAAGGGATGGAGATGATGCCATGTCTATCAGGAGACAAATGGCTAAAGAAACTGTGGGGCATTTGTACAGGGGAGTATTATGAATCACTAAAAGTCAATAAAAAAATATCTGTGAAATAGTATACAACCTGGATGAACTGCAAACAAATGATGCTGAGTGATGTGTCGGTTACAGAAGGGCAGCTAAGGCGTATTGTTGTTGTTAGGTGCCTCTGGGGTGAGCACAACTTATAGCGACCCTATGAACAACAGATCTGAACTCTGTCCTGTCCTATGCCATCCTCACAATCCCAGACAGCCTCGAGCCCATTGCTCCAGTCCCTGTGTCACGCCACCTGGTTAAGACACTAATATAAAAAGCTAAGTAAAGATTTATACACAGATAGAATCACTCTCAGAGGGTTAACTGAGGTGAGAAGGGATGGGGGAGCAAAAATTAAAAAATAGATAAGAAGATAAAGGTGGTGGACTATGAAAGTGTGAGCAGAAGTAATCACTTTAGTCAATTGTGATTAATGTTTTAAAACAAAGTGAAGGACTGAATGAAAATGTAAACTTTGACTTAAAGATTTTTTTAAAAAAGAAAAATGGGGTGAATAATATATTTTAAATGTCCATGAATGATGGAATGAAAAGGCAATATGATTTGTAAACTTTGACTAGATAAAAGTAAAGAATAAAAAACATGATACCGTAATTAACAAAACAGAATGAGACAGATGCCTGAGCCTGCAGCAAACCTGTGAATGTTCCCTGGAATTCCAAGGTGGTGACTGGGCTTGTTTGTCACAGCTGTGGCTTTGGTATCTGTAGGGGGTGGTGACCACGTGTTAGCAGCTTTGAGAACTAGGGACAGTGACCTTGCTCTGGCCTGAAACGACTCCTTCCATGGCCCTATGATTTGAAATTAAAAAAAATTGGAAGAAAGGACAGAGGGAGGCATTGGATGTCTAAGAGTCACCTGGAATCACCACAGGAATGCTGTTGTTAGGTTTCTGTGACTCAGAGAGACCCCATGGGCGACAGATGGAAGCCCGTCCGCTCCTGTATCGTTCTCACAAGTTCCTCTCCAAGGACCGGTCCCTCCTGGTAACACGCTCCAGTGTGTGAGATGAGGTCTCACTGGCCCTGTTTCTCAGGACACTCTGGGTGGACTTCTTCCAGCCCAGATGGTTCTTCCGGCAGTCCAGTCATTCATCATCCAGCTTTCACACGCAATTGAAAATACCATGACTGGGGTCAGGCACACCTTAGTCTTTAAAGTGCCTTTAGCATTTAGAGGTCCTTGACAACAGATTTGCCCAGTGCAACACATCTGTCAATTTCTTGACTGCCACTATCAAGGAGGTTAATTGTGGGTCCAAGTCAAATGAAATCTTTTGACAACCTCAATCTTTTCTCCATCTATCATGATGTTGCCTATAGGTCCAGTTGGAAGGATTTTTCTTTTTTCTTTTTTTTTTTTGGAAGGATTTTTCTTTTTTCCACAATAAAAAAAAATACTTGAAAACCTCAAAACTCGCTGTCATTGAATGTGTTTTGGTTCACAGCCACCCTCCATTGAGTTTACTCCATTGGTTTAAGTTGCAGGGGAGCAGACTGCCCATCTTTCTCCCTAAGAGTTGCTGGGGCATTCCAACTGCAGGGGATATGCCTTTGAATTACCAGGCTACACCACCACGAAGGACCATTCATTATGCAGAATTGCTAGGTACCTCTTCCAGGGCAGAATGAATACTCTCAGGGTCCCTAAGCACCAGAAGATTTTAGCATAATCCGCCCCACCCCCTTTGTAACTATGAAGACCTAAAGCTTGTTCACCCTGAAGAATTCCAACCAACCCCCAGTTCTTCCAGGGGTGCACACAGATGCTGACTGAGCAATGGCATGCTTTTCAAAACCCCTGCTTTGCTTGAGGGGAGGGGAACCCAGCCTCAGCTTTGAATGTTGAAACCACCTTAGGAGCTACAAGTGCTGGGGGCCCTCAGGCACTGGAACAGGGGGAGACACCCCACATGACCCTGAGTGCTGGCAACACCCCCTCCTGGTCACTGTGTGTGTGCTTTTAGCTCCACTGGGTTGAGGGACATAGAATTCATTAGCATGTCGGGGCTCAACAGCCCTGGCCACTGTTTACTGGTGCTGCTAGTGTCCCCTGCATGGTGTCCCCTCTTCTGACCAGACACATAATAACTCCTGCTTCCTGCTGGTCCCAGGGTGAGAGAAAATGAGCTGCACAGTGAGGAAGGTGCCCTGATAGCATGATGTTTAAGCACTCTCCATGGAAGAAAGACACAACAGTCAGCTTCCAGAAAGATCACACGCAGCCAGGACACCTCGAGGGCATGTCTCTGTCCTGCAGGGTTACTGTGATCAGAGCAGCCGGAGGATGAGGATGGTGGCCTGCACGCATCCTGCACCAAGGCTCTGTGTAAACACTGTGTAGGTACGATTTCATCCAATTCCCAGACAACCCATTACACAGATGAGTAGACTGAGGCAGCCAGCAGGTAGGTGTTATGGGGCCATTGCTCCCACCTCCCCCACCTCTTTGCCCCCACTGACCTCTGATCCCTCATCATCTCTCCAGCTCCCTCATGCCCTCCCCATCCCCCAACACCTCTGAGTCCCTTCCTTCCATGTCACCTCCCCAGGTATTGCCCCCCACCCCCATCGGAGGTCACACATCCCACAGAGGGTGGCTGCTGAGAGTGGTTCTCCTCTCCGGACTTCCCCTCGCCCACCTCTGCCCCATCGTGGGGACTGTCACCATCCTGCCCCTCAGTAGGATCCGCCCCGTCCTCTCTGCCCCGCAGGGTGCGGCCTGGCGGCGGGGGTGGCGGGGCGGGGCGTCCGGGCCTGTAAAAGCGGCCAGCAGGGCCAGGGCTCTCAGCAGATGACCATGGAGACCACAAGGACAAGCCGTGTGATGGCGCTGGGCCTGGCCCTGGCTGCATTCTGCCTGCTGGTGCTCCCTCCGGCCACCTGGGCCCTGCCTGGGGGCCACTTGATCGGTGAGCGCAAGAACCTGTCTCCCGACGACCCGCAGGTGCAGAGGGTGGCGCAGGTGGCCGTGGCCAACTACAACATGGGCAGCAACAGCGCCTACTACTTCCGGGACACTCACATCCTCCGGGCCGAGAGCCAGGTGAGTAGCCGGTGGGCGGGGGAGGCCAGTGGGGACCCCGGTGCCCCAGCGCAGACCAGAGGTCCAGCGTTAAGCAGTGTCCTTCAAAAGGGGAATTCATGCCGAAGCTTCAAGCTGAGCAAAATCCTTCTAGTAAATAGGGGATTAAATTTGTATTTACCCTGCGGCAGGCAGCGGCCTGCTGGTCCCATGGGTGAGCTGGGGACACCCGGAGGGAGTGAGGGAGATGGGGGCATAGCGGGGTAAGAGATGGAGGTGAGGGAGCTGGGGATTGGGGTGACATGGGGGATGAGGGAGAGGGCAGACAGCTGACGGAGGGGTGATGGGGACAAAGAAGGATAGGGGGATGGGGGTTTATGAGGAGGTGATGGAGACAAGGGGGGGATGTGAAGAGGATGATGGGGACAAGGTGTGAGGGCGGCCAGGGAGTGCGTGTAAGCAGAGGCCCTGAGTCAGCAGCAGGGGCTTCAGGAAGGCTGTCAGCCAGCTGCGTTCATGTCCTCAGTACCTTTGAGTCGCCTGCCTCCTGCACCTCTCGGCCAAGGACCTGGGGGCCTTCTGAGCTGGCGCACCCCAGGACACCCTGGGTGAATACGGGGTGTGGAGGGTGGAGCGTGGCGCAGGGTGGGAAGGGGTGCCTCACCTGACGGCCTCCCTGTCCCCAGCTGGTGTCTGGAATCAAGTACTACCTGTCCATGGTCATGGGAAGCACTCCCTGCCGTAAGACTGCTGCCAGCATGGACCGTGCCGTGGACCTCACCATCTGCCCCCTGTCCACGGGCGCCCAGGAGGAGGTAACAACATGGCCCCCAGTCTCCTACCGCTCCTATGGTCCCCAGCCACGGCTGGTCAGACCTGTTGGACCTTCTGAGTGACTCAGTCACCAGGTCTGGGTGGGGTGCATGGAGAGAATGTGGCTTCCTGGGGGGTAGGGAGAGCTGGGATCTGGCCCTGCTCTCTGATATGTGGTCTCTGGGTGACTGGGAGACTAATGGGGCTTTAGGGAGCAATTTGTCTGGCCACATTCACCCCCACCCCCCACCCCACCCCTCTGTCTCCACAGAAGCTGCGCTGTGACTTTGAGATCCTGGTGGTCCCCTGGAAGAACTCTACCCAGATTCTGAAGGACAACTGTGTGCCCCAATAATAGGACACACGCTGTGGGTGGAGCAGGGGCCCAGGGTGGAGGGTGCTGCTGCAGGGGTTGCAGGCTCCTGGAACTTCACAATAAAGTGCTAATGCCTTCTAGCTCTGGTCTCCTGTGAGTACTTCACACCTTGCGCCCACCTGCTCCTGTCAGGCCCCCCAAGCCCACACTGCAGGGCCCAGGCTGAGCTTTGCTGCCCCAGCCCAGGCAGGACTGAGACTACTGTTCGGCCCCTAACACCTCACAGTCTCAGACCCAGAGCAGGGGTACCTTTTAGGGGTCCCCAACATCCTCAGAGTTGAAGGCTGCAAGCCACAGCTGAGGACTGATGCCCAAGAGTCTGGAACTGCTCGTTGGGCGTGCTCTGAGAGGGTGGGCCCTGCATCCCTCACCTCCACATAGAACCTAGGACACTGAACTCCCAGCCTGCATGAGGCCAGAGAGGGTCTGCTGGTGTGTGGGGGCGTCCCCAGAGGGACCCAGACTTTCCCTGCAGCACACAGTTTAATGCCATTTAGAGAAAAGAGACTTATGACCATATTTACAAGGTATATTTGCCATTTATAACACACGCACTGACATGAGCAGTGTTCCATTGCTGACCCAAAGGGTTCACATCCACCAGCTGCTCCTCAGGAGGAAGATGTGGAGATCTCCCTCCGTAAGGAGTTCTCTTGTCGGGTGCTGGCCATTCGACGACCACTCACAGCAACCATGTGGACAGCAGACCTGAACCGTGGCCTGGCCTGCGCCGTCCCCACCATCCCTGCATACGCGAGCCACTGTGTTAATCCATCTAGTTGAGGGTCCTCTCCTTTGCTGACCCTCCATCTTCCTAGTACCCTGTAAGGCATGTCTGCACTGTCCTGTAGTCGGTACGACTTGGAATTTACTTGATGGCAATTGCTGTGTGTGATGTAGTGTTGGCTTCGACCCCTAGCTGACCCTCCAAAGGGTTTTTCAGAGGCTGTAAATCGCTCTGGAGGAGATTGCCTGTCCTCCTGAGGAACAGCTGTTGGATTCCAACCTTAGGGTTCTCAGCACAGTGCGTGGGCTTGGTGTTTTTTAGTTCACACATGTGTGCGCACACACGTGACACACACCTTCATACAATCAGATACTTCCAGATACACACACATCCAGAAAAACACAAACCACAACCTAGCAACTCAGCAGCACAGAAGCCCACGGCTCCTGAGCAGTAGCCTGGAGACACACACACCCCCCAAACACACACACCCCGTGACGCACGTGCCCACGCCCAAAAGTGTCCTTGTCCGCACTGGCACGCCCATGCCTGGGGCAGAACGGAGGACACTGGGTGCTGGCACTATCAGGCCCAGACAGGCAGCATCTCAGAGGCTGGACAGGATGCCCTCAGGGCCCCTGCTGTCCACACTGTGACTACCTGGTGCCTCCCCAAACTTGGGACCTAACCCAGCTCCTGAATTCTGGTCCCTGGGCCCCCCATTCTGCACCTGGAGGCCACACTGAGGTGGTGGTGGGTAGGGGGTGGGACATAGACCCTGAATTCCTAGTGCAATCTGAGGAGCTGAGGGGTTGAGTTAGGGGTGTAGGAAAATCGCCTCTAGTAAAATGACAGCTCATTAGGGCCACGTGGACCACAAGCCTTGGGCCATCTGGGAGGACTGAGGTGGCGAGGCAAGTCCTGCTAAGGATGTCAGCAGGGTGGCCTCTCCCCCCTGGAATCTGTGACATTTCCTCAGCACAGTCCCTTCTGGGCCTGAGGTCAGGCAGCACTCTCATCAATCAAGTTGGAGAGGGGAGCCAGTGTCCCCATTAGGTCATTGAGGCTACTGAGCGCCCCCTCCAGGTCAGAGAGGAAAATTAGTGCCCCATCCAGGGCAATGAGGGGAGTGAGCGCCCCCTCCAGGTCAGAGAAGGGAATAGACACCCCCTTCCAGGTCAGTGAGGGGAGTGGGCACCCCTTCTGGGGCAGTGAGGGGAATGAGCGCCCCCTCCAGGTCAGAGAAGGGAGTGGGCACCCCTTCCAGGTCAGTGAGGGAGTGAGCGCCCCCTCCAGGTCAGAGAAGGGAATAGGCACCCCTTCCGGGGCAGTGAGGGGAGAGAGCGCCCCCTCCAGGTCAGTGAGGGAGTGAGCGCCCCCTCCAGGTCAGAAAAGGGACTAGACACCCCCTTCAGGTCAGAGAAGGGAATGGGCACCTCCTCCAGGTAAGTGAGGGGTGTAAACGCCCCCTCCAGGTCAAAGAGGAAAATTAGTGCCTCCTCCAGTTTGGAAGCAGGAGTGTCATCCACTTCCTAAATAACATGCCTCCAGAAACTCTATGAACTTTGATAAATGCCAATAGTTGCAGAGAGGCTTCAGGCCTTTTATTTATAGCATCACTATGAGTTGTGCTCCACTTGAAGGCAATCAACAACAACAAGGTCAGTGAGGGGAGTGAGCGCCCCCTCCAGGTCAGAGAAGGGAGTGAGCGTCCCCTCCAGGTCAAAGAGGAGAACAAGTGTTCCCCCCCCAGATCAGCAGGGAAGTGGGCACCCTTTCCAGGCCAAGGAAGGGAGTGAGCACTCCCTTCAGGTCAGCAAGGGGAGTGGGCTTCCCCTTCATGCCAGAGAAGTGAGTGGGCACCCCCTCCAGGCCAGGGAGGAGAGTATTGCTCCTGCTGAGGCTGGAGGTGTCACCACAGCCCTGTCCAATAGGCAGAGGCAGGTCGGCAAAGTCATCTGTGTCTTCGAGCCTCACTCTTGCATCTAGCTGGGACCACACCCTGGACTGTACTGGGAAGGAGATGGGTGTCTGAACTAGTGAAAACCACCCTCAGTTGGGTAAGGAGCCCCCAGGCCCGGGGCTGGACTTGGACAGTACTTTTTTTTTTATTATAATACTTTTACGTGTACCGTCAAATCAGATCTGACTGGTACAGGAGGAGATTACCCCCTCCTTCTCCAGCAGGGACAGGACTTTTTAGGTATGAACTCCTCTGCAGTGGCCCAGGCCATGCAGTCACTAGGGGGCCATGGTCAGTTGGATGAAGACAGATGGGCAGTGCCTCTACCACCTGACTGTGAAGACAGGGCCCTCTGAGCCCTGCACGGCTGAGTGGAGGGGCTTATCTGAGACCTGGATCAGGCAGGGCAGGAAGCAGCTTCCCTTCTTAACAAGGGCATGCCCCACCTCACCCCATCCCATCTCACCCAAGCCAGAGGACTCACCCACTTTTACACCCCCCTTCTCAACTGAAGCTCTTCCGTCTGAGCCTCTCCTGAGCTTTAGATGCCCCACCTGGACGGCGCTCTAGTACCAGTGCTGAGGGTCCCGGGAAGCCCAGCTTCAATGGCTCTGTGCCTCTTTTCATGAAGCCCACCTGTCTCCTGTCCGGATAACCATGGGCTTTCTCAGCCTCTTTTCCTCCTGACCCTCTTGGACCTGGTCACTTTCTGCAGCACCCTGGGGCCACTGCTAATGAAGTGTCCTTTACGTACAGAACATGCCCATTCACACACGTGTGTTCACACTCTAGCTCGCCTGCAGCCTGGGCTTTCTTCCAGTGAGGACAGGAAGCCACATGGTGTTTTAAAACTCTGTTGGGGACCTAGCCTTGCAGGACCCAGAGAATCATTACAGCAGATTCTGGGACTTATCCTGACCCACCACCACCCTAAGCCAAGGGGACAAGGATTCTGGGGCTCTCGCCCAGGTCTGACTGAGAGGAAGGGGAACTTGCAGCTTGTCAGAGACATGACCTCCTATGCAGGTCACTTCCTGAAGTCCTCTTCTCCAGCCTACAAGGTGGGGGTCAGGGAGAGTGAATGAGCCGGCCCCCCTCTGCCTTTCAGACCTCACACACCCTCTCCCTGACAGGCCCAGCCCGGGCCCACCACCTCCCTGACTCATCCCTGCTGGTCCTGCTTGGCTCACCTCAAAGGTGGTGTCCACAATCTCATCAATGACACATGCCTGGGACCGGAACTTCAGTTGAAGATGCTCCACTCCAGCCACCAGCTGTAGGAAATGGAACAGTAGCTCCTTCTGCCTAGGGGTGGTAGGGAGACAGAGGCCAAGCTAGAGCTGACCTACCTGGCTGAGTGTGATGTAAAGAACTTCAATTTGCCCAAAGGATTTTATCCATGACCTTGATCCCTGGGAGGCAGCACTCAACACCTTGGGGCTTTCACAGTGATATTGTGTTATTGTTGGTGTATGCTTTTGATTTGGAACTGATTCATAGCTGACCCTCTAGTGGGTTTCCAGAAGCAGCAAATCACATGGAAGGAGATTGCCCATCCTTCTCCCACAGAGCAGCCAGTGGATTTGAAGTGTGTGCCTTTGGCATTACAGTGCAACTTCTCACCACTAAATCACTAGGACTTTCCCCACATACACACAGTGATAGGAGCATCTTTATGAAACCTGGAGCTTACACCTGGAGCTCTGGTCACTTAATAGTAAGGAATTATGCTGCCAATGCAAAGGTATGCAGTTCTAAACCACCAGCTAGTCCGCAAGAAAAAGATGAGCAATCAACTCTTCGATATATTGCCTCTGAGAAGTGGTTGGAGAACCAGCTATGGGTCAGTTCCAACTCGATGGTATACTACTAGAACAACAACCAGCTCAGGGCCTCCACAAGAAAAAGGCTGATAACCCAATTACAAAATGGCCAGAAGACATGGAAAGACTTTTCACAAACTAAGACATTCTTTTTCACAAAGGAAGATAGGCACAGGGAGAAATGCTCAAAATCACTGGCAATAAGAGAGATGCAAATCAAAAACCACAATGAGATGTCACCTCACCCTAGTAGCAGTGGAAAAGTTTAACAGGATAGCAAGCAATAAATGTTCGTGAGGATGTGGAGAGATTAGAACTCTCATACATTGTTGGTGGGATCGTAAATTAGTACAACCACTCTGGAAGGCAGTTTGATGTTTCCTCAAAAATCTGAATATAGAAGTTCCATAGGACCCAGCTATTCCAATGCTAGAAGTATACCCTGAGGAAAACAGACCTGAGACACAAAAGGAGATTTTTACACCAATGTTCATATATTCAATAGTATTATTCACAAGAATAAGAAAATGGAAAAAGCTCAAATGTCCATTAACAAATGACTGGGTTGAGAAACTGTGGTGCATTCACACAATGGAATACTATGCAGCACTCAGGAGCAAGGATAAAAAAAATAGTATGAAGTTGATCTTTTAATATGATTTTTTTTCCCTAGCCATTATTTGACTGTGTTGTTGTTGTTGTTGTTATGTGCCGTCGAGTCGTTTGCGACTCATAGCGACCCTATGTACAACAGCCCTAAACCCTGCTCTATCCTGTGCCAATCTCATTGCCTCTGACACACCCATCCCAATTACCCCAGTCACTGAATCAATCCACCTCATAGAGGGTCTTCCCCTCCTGTGCTGTCCCTCTACTCTACCCAGCATGATGTCCCTCTCCAAAGACCTGTCTCTCCTTACAACATGTCCAAAGTATGTCAGGCGAAGCCCCAGAAGGCTTGCCTCCAAGGAGTAGCCTGGTTTAACCCTTTCTAGGATGAATCTGTTTGTTTTCTTGGCAGTCCACGGTACATTCAATACTCTTCTCCAGCACCACAGCTCAAAGGCATCAATTCTCCTTCTATCCTCCCTAGTCATTGTCCAACTCGCTGATGCATAACAAGTGATTGCAAAGACCATGGCCTGTATCAGGTGCACCTTAGTCTCCAGAGAGACACCGTTGCTCTTGAGTACTTTAGAGAGGTCCCTAACCACAGACTTTCCCATCGCAATACGTTTTTTTATTTCCTGGCTACTGGTGCCAAGAGTGTTGACTGTGGAGCCGAGCAAACTGAAGCTGTGAACACTCTCAATCTCTTCGCCATCCATCCTGATGCTACCGATTGGTCTGGTGGTGAGAATTTTTGTCTTCTTGACATTGAGCCTCAGTCCATACTGAAGGCTGCAGTCCTTGACCCTCTGCAGTAAGTGCATGAGGTCCTCCTCAGTTTCAGCGAGCAAAGTTGTGTCATTTGCATAACGTAGATTGTTGATAGATCGTCCACCAATCCTAACGCCATGCTTCTCCTCATAGAGCCCAGACTCTCAGATAATCTGCTCTGCATACAGGTTGAAAAGATATGGAGATAGGACACATCCCTGACGTACACCCTTCCCAATTTTGAACCATGCAGTCTTGCCCTGCTCTGTTCTGACGACTGCCTCTTGGTCCAAGTATAGGTTTCGCATTAGAATGATTAATTGTTCTCGGATTCCCATTCTTCTCAGAGTCAGCCACAGTTTGTTATGATCCACGCAGTCAAATGCCTTTGCATAATCAATGAAACACAGATAGACATTCTTCTGGTATTCTCTGCTTTCAGCTAAGATCCATCTAATATCAGCTGGTTGTAAATATGTGAATGGGTCATGTTGACCTATTCACAAGGGGACTGGCCAAAATCTAAATATCTACAAGAGGATTGATAGATCTTGCCATTAAGTTGACAACTCTAACCAGAGACTGATTTGGAACTAATGAAGAAAAATCAAGAAAATGTAAGATGCCTTTCTTGCGCCAGCTGCATCTACAGCAGCAATACCTATGATTGAACTGGAGACCTGATGTGAGATGGGACCATGTGGGGTGGGGGAGAGCCAAAATTGGCAGGACTGAGAACTTTGTTAAACAATTGAGGGACTGACTGGAAGGCAGTATCGACAGGACTGAGAACTTGGGAACACTGGTCAAAAAGCCACGAAGCTCAAGGCTGAGGTGCCTGTCTGCACATTTTTGGGAACTTTCTTGACTGTATTGTTATTAATCTGGATTATAACCTTTTGACTTCCCCAATATTGTTCTGTGAGTTCTGTGAGTTATCACATCAGATTTCGGACCCAGCAAAGCAGTAAAATTGGTGTTAAGATGAGTAAAAAGAGATACGAGAGCATGTCTGACCTCATAGAAATTGGTTTCACATTATTGATGCTATTGATGGGGACAGTTCCCCTTTGTGGTTTGGTAAAGGTCAGATATGGCTGTCCCCACATGGCCCTTGCTCTTTTTAAAAATACTATATAACATGGGTTGGAAGCATGGAGTGGCATCCACTTCCTAAACAGCATGCCTCTGGAAACTCTATGAAATTTGAGAAATGAAGATAGTTATAGAGAGGCTTCAGGTCTTTTGTTCATAGGGTCTCTATGAGTCATGCTCTACTTGACGGCAATCAACAGCAACAACAATGTATAACATGGGAGAGACTAGCGACCATTATGTTGAATGAACTAACTCAGTCTCATAAGGAAAATACTACATAAGACTATTATTGTAAAAAAATAGACAGATAATTAGTAAGATGTGTGTGAAAGTTCAAAGGGAGAAGGAGAGGGAGCAGTGGGACTGAGGGGGAAGGCGGGGAATTACAGGGTCACAGAGTGTGGTGGGGGTGGAGGAATTAGGGAACAGCCTGAAAAGATAGGATGATAGTGGGCATAGAGCAACAGTGATTGCATTTATAAAATGCAGTGTTTGAAACATAATGTGAATGAAGAAACATGTGAAACACACTGTATACGAGTGAAACACAGCACATACAAATTTTGTATGCAAACCAATAGAACTTTTAAAAATATGTGAAAAAAAAGAAGATAGATGTAATACACAGAGTTACAGTAGCAAAAAGAATCGTTTAGCAGTCAGTCACTTCAAGAGGTGGTAGTATATGAGCAAAGACTGAGGATACTGAAGCTTGAAGTCCAAGCTGCATGGAAGGCATTAGGGAGAAATAAGGCTCCAGGACCTGACAGACACCAAGTAAGACCTTTCCTCGCTGGATGTGCTCCCTCATCGACACCAAGGACCTTGGGAGACAATTACCCGGTCAAAGGACTGGAAGAAACTAATATTTGTGTTCCTGCCAAAGAAAAATGACCCAACAGAATGCAGACATTTCCAGCACTACCTTTAATAGTACATAAAAGTAAAATTTTGCTGGATAGTATTTAAAAAATTATTGGAGCTGCAAAAAAACAGGGAACTTCTAGAAATTCAAGTGACTTCAGAAGAGGACGCACAAACATGGGAGATGATATTAGATGGATCTTGGCTGAAAGCAGAGAACACCAGAGAGATGTTCACCTGTGTTTTATTGACTGTGCAAAGACATTCAATCATGTGGATGGTGAAAATGAAAAGACAATTTTGAGAAGAATGAGAACGAATTTCATGTAGAACCTGTGAGGAGACCAGGCTGCAGTGTTCAAACAGAATAAGGGGATATTGTACTGTCTACAAACAGCAAAGGTGTGAGTCATAATGTTTGGTTTGTTTTTTGGTTTTTTTTTAGAAAAAGGTGTCCTTTCACCATATCTAGTCAATCCACATGCCAAATAAGTGAGAAAGTGGGCCGCTTAGGAATGTGATGGCAGGATTGGAGGAAGGTTCATTAATCACCTGAGATACATGGATGAAACGGACAACCAAGTCACTTGGCTGTTACCTAGACCCACAACCTTCCTTTCCCCACTCTGATGTCTCCACATCCTCCCTGGCCCAGCCTGGACCTTTCAACATGAGGCCTTTCTTTGTGTGCTTGCAGGAGCTCTCAGGGGCCTGGCTCACTCTTCAGTAAAGGTCAAGAAAGCTGCTTGAGGCTCACCATCCTTTACTGTTTGCTGCTGTAGGGTTTGTATTCACTCCGTCTTTCCAGGGGTCCTTTACCCTCTTCCCTCCTCTTTCCTTTTCACTTTAACTCTTCTGCGTGGCCCACCTTACATGAGCTATGTCTTATTGCCTCAATACACCTTTCCCACTTATTTTGCTTGAAGAAGAGGAGAAAGGGGAGGAGGAGGAGAAGGAGGAAGAAGAAGAAGAAAGAGAAAAAAAGAGAGAGAGAGAAAGAAAGAAAGAAAGAA